GCTATTTCATTAGAAAACAAATCTCATCCCTGTTCTTGCACTCCAGTATATTTTTTCTTTGAAATCAATGATAATAAAATACAAACCTATTGTTACGTGAACAAAAAAGCTCATCAGGTGTTTACGGGCTGCCTTTGTTAAAAGTTTAACCGATGTTTGCGTGACTCGCTCGCTGCGCACCAGGCAGTGTTCCAAGCCCTTTACCTACATTACCTCATCAAACCCTTGTATTATTGTCCCCATTTCACAGGTGAGGCGTAAAGAGGTTAAGTGACTTGCCCGAGGTCAAGTTGCAGGTCCAGGACGGGGCCCGCCCGCTTCTCTGATCTCCCCAGCAGGAAGCGTGCCCTCTGCCCCGCCGGTCCGTCTTTCCTGCGCGTGTCCCACACCCCGCTGGGCTGTAAACTCGTCCCAGCTGAGGCTGAGCTCCCTCGAGGCCCGTCCACAGTTGCAAGTGGGACTTCCATAGCCAGCCTCAGCTCCCCCACCACCACAGCCACCTGGCCCCCTTGTCTCCTGTCCATTGTCTGAAGCTCCTTCAAGATGCCCAGGAGACACCAGGCCTCCAATGAGGGGTGCATATGGTGGGGGCACCTAGAAAGAGGGTCTTCATCCCTGGGCCGCTGGAGACCCCAGAGTCTCTCCAACTCCAGGAAGTGTGGGAAGGAATTGGGACGGAGCATCAGTGCATCCTAACGTCTCCCAAACCAGCCATGTGACAGTCCCTTTCCTGTGCCTCAGGTTCCTCAAGGGTAAAATGAGGCTGGTTAGGGAGAGCGTCCCAGGAGCCCAGGGCAGGTCCTGTGGGAATGAGTAAGGCAGAAGTCTCTTTACTCAGCCAGGAAGCTTTTGGGGCCCCCAGGGGGCAAGCTGCCTGATGGACTTCTGCTCATGAATTCATTAACGGAGCACCCATCACGTGGAGGCGTGTTTGAGGCACAGGGGGCATGTCAGAGGGACAGAGAGAGGCAGTGTCCCCGTTGCCCAGGAGCTCGCTCTGCAGCTATGTTTCGGGAGGCCTTGACCCTTCACCCGCGGGGGCTGCAGGCTTGGAACCAGGCCCTTCCACACGCTTGGCTCAAAGAGGGAGCACCGAGGGCCTGGGGGAGAGAGGCATGTCCACCCTCTAGCTCTGCCCTCCACCACCGGATGACCTTGCCTCTCAGGTGTTTGTTTCCTCACCTTGTCGTTGGACTGCATGCCCCTGAAGCCTGCTCTACCAGCCCAGGCAGGGGTCCACCTCTGTGGGAAGGCTTCGCACAACCATTCGTGGTTAAACATTACCGCTCCCTGTCCATCCCTCCCTGCCACTCCTCAGGGATATCAAGCCATAAACACTGCCTTCTTCGGTTTTCCTCCAGGGCGGTGGCCTCCTGGGAGGGGCCGCAGGTACGCCCGCTGATTGTTGCCCACCTGAGGCGGGTTCTGGAGAGAGGGGGTCAGGGATCCGGGGCCTGGGGGCTGGGGGCTGGGGTGGGGACACTTGGGCCCTCCCCACCACCCCTCCCCAAGATGTTTTTTTCTTGGTTACATCACGCACGAGGCCCCCTAGGTCCTCCTGTGGACTGGTTTAATGAGCCCCTCAGGTGCTCGTCTCGGGCACGATGCCCAGCCTCCCCGGTTTCCAGGAAACAAAAGTCATTCAGAGAAATCAGGGCGGTCTCGCTGCACGCGGTGCCCCGCCTCGGCTTCTGCTCGCAGGACCCTCCCGAGCAAGAAGGGCCCGGCCCGCTGCCATGCCAGATCCCACCCACCCAGGAGTTTCCCGTTATGAGCCCGCATCCACTCGGCGCTCCCACAAATCCCAGGGACGGGAGTGAATTCCAGCTGAACCATACTTCACAATATGCAAAGAGCTTTCTTCTCATTGCCTTCTTTTCCATCATCCAAACAACTTTGTAAAATAGGAGTGATGTCTTTGTCAGGCCCAGCATACACATGAGAACACCTAGGTGCAAGGTGACAGGCCTGGTGAGCAGAGAGCCAGGTGTCAGAGCCAAGTCCTAACTGACTCTAAAACCAGACTGGTTTTATGTGGATTCTCGGAACTGTTAACTCTCAATGCACTGCTCGTACAGACATCACTAATCAACCCCAGCCTGGCAGACATTGCTAATCAATTGTGGTGCGCTTTTTTTTAGATCACTGGCAGCTGCGCACTCCTCAGCTCAGTACTCAGCACAGTACTTCAGGACACCATCACCAGAAGATCAGATCCATTTGCCATTTTTTTAAAAGAGTTTATTTATTTATCTCTGGAGAAGAGGGGAAGGGAGGGAGAAAGAGAGGGAGAGAAACATCAGTGTGTGGTTACCTCTCACATGCCCCCCACCGGGGACCCGGCCCACAACCCAGGCATATGCCCTGACCGGGAATCGAACCAGTGACCCTTTGCTTCCCAGTCTGGAGCTCAATCCACTGAGCCACATGAGCCAGAGCCCACTTGCCATTCTTTTGATCCCACACCATCAATCCCAAGCTCTCGGGATGCAGGCACAAGCCCCCGGTGTTCTAATCACCCGACCACAAGGATACACCACACGCGGTTCTGGGGCAGGAGCTCCTGGCTCCTCCGTCCCCTGCACAACAGATGTCCCTTCCAAGCGTGGTCTCTCTGAGACACAGCCCCCACGCAGGCGTGGCTGGGCTTCCAGGGTCTGCTAGGTCTTTAACAGAACGTTTTATTATGAAACATTTCAGGTGCACCCTAAAGTGCAGATAACACTGTCACGTAGGACTGTGTCTCCGCAGGTTACACATCCAAACACCGCAGACGTAACTAAAGTGCCCGGGTCCCCCTCAGTCCCTCCCTCTGAATTGCGTGTCCCCTTCCCACACGTATTTTATACGTTCATTACATGCTGGCACATCCGTGTTGTCAACCGTCACAGACATTATGTTGTTCAGGCGTTCCGGTCTCTGCCGTACGGCGGGGCGTTGGGACTTGCAGGCAGGGTGGTGGGCGCGGCTCCGATCTCCCTCCACCGCGTTCACTGTGACGTCTGCTGAGCCCTCGCTCTGCACCGGCCACGGTTCCAGGTGCCTTACCTGGCGGAACTCGTTTAATCTTCACGGCGGAGTGACCGTTCTCCCCACTTTACAGCTTTGGAAGTAGCGGCACGGAGAGGGGAGATGACGTCCCAGAGCCACATAGCTCGGGAGCTGTGCCTCTGACTGCTAGACGTCACTCCCTCTGCTGCCGCATGGTCTGTGGCATGAAAACACAGTCATTCATTCATCCGTTCCCCTGTTTAAGGGCCACTGATTGCTTTTGCCTCAACACTGGTCTCGGAGGGCTTGGGATGGTTGTGTCATCTCGCGTGGTTTCTGCATCAAGACTATGAGCGGGTATTTGTACCATTTCCCCAACACCCTTTACAGTTGCGGAGACTAGGGCTCAGAGAGGCTGAATCACCTTCTCAAAGCTGCACAGCTGCCGTGTGCCAGAGGTGGACTGTGACCCTGGGGCCCTCCGATTCTAGAGCCCAGAGGCTCTCCCGCACCCCTGTGTGCCTTCAGTGCCCCGTTGTCTCGTCTTGACTCTGTCCCTGGCAGCCTGCCCTGCCTCCCCGGGGAGACCCTCCCCACGCCCCGGCTTCGGTCTCCCCTCCTCTGGCCACCCTCCACTGTCCTCCTGTCCGAGAAGGGGCCCAACCGGAAAGCCAGTTCATATCAGGAAATTCCAGCCACGTGAGCCAGCCCGAGCCAGGGATTCTGAGCAGCCGGCGGCTTTAGAAGAAACTGAAACTTGGCTTGCTGGGGGCGGAGTGGTCACTGGGGATTTAAGGAGTCACCACTTCCTCGGGTTCCCAGAGTGCACTCAGAGGTCACAGCAGCTGAGGGACACCCCGAACCAGGTGTGAGCCTTTGCCCTACTGCCTGAGCCATGCACCTCTGCGGGGGCGAGGGGCTGCTGACAGGGACGGTGAGTACAAGAAACCCAGGAGAGGGGAGGGGGAGCGTATGCCCCGGGGGTCCCCCGTGCCTGGGTCGGGAGAATGTGGTCAGAGCTCCTCTCCTCGCCCCAGCGCTACAGAGGGCTGTGTGGCAGCGGGCTCCACACCCACTCCCTCGGGCTTCTGTTTCCCCAGGGATTGGAATGAGGGCTTTCCAGCTCCCATGCTGCAGATCCAGCCTCCCGTTTAGAACTTGGCCTCTGAACACTGCTCTCTCCTCACCCACCTGTTCTCCCTCACTGCCCTTAAGGTAGCCTCTCTCCCCTCCCCCTGGAGGCCCTGCCCGACTCCCAGGACCCTGAACCCAGCAGCCAGCCCCTCCTCTCGCTGTGGGTCTTTTCCCCAAGCTCCGGTCCCCTGCCTCCCCCGGCCCCGGCCCCGGCCCCGGCCCCGGCCCCTGGAACGCGCCTGCTGTGGCCATGAACCTAGGAGCACAGCATCCTCCGACAGGGACGCCAGGCTCTCTCCTGAGCTCCCTACACTCGGAACACACCTCCCAGGGGGGCCTGTGGGAGGGGAGGTTGGGCTGCAGGGCCTCGTCTGACCTTCCAAAACTCTGGGCATTTGGTTAAATATTTCGTGTAAGTATCGTGGACACCATAATCTGTCATCCGGGGCAGGGAACAGTCACAGCTGTCAACCTTTGTGTCCCTTCTTCCGTCAGGACAGACTTCATTCATTCATTCTAGGTTGCTGCCCCGCACCCCCACTAGAATGCGAGCACTTGAGGGGAGGGATTTTTGCCTGTTTTGTTTACTGCCGTGTTTCCCTAGCTCAGTGCCTGGCACACAGTAGGCGCTCAATAAATATTGAAGTAGGTAAATATCACCTTTGGGCTTGCCTTGCTCATTGGGGCGGACTCAGGTTCCGGTCCTGCCCTCACGGTGGAGCTCACAGCTGGAGGAATCAACCACGTCGGCTGTGGAAATGGTGGCGATAAGAGGGTGACCTTTATTACCTTTGGCCCGGCGCTGCCCCCGGGCTGCCTGCTTTATGGCCTGTGAGGAAGCCACTGGGTTCAGAGACATAAGTGACTTGCCCAGGGCGACCTAGCTGATAAAGAGAGTGGGCGCAAAGTCAAGTCTGCCTGGGTTCAAATCCCAGCCTCCCGGCTTCCTCGCCTGTCCTCCCGAAGCGTGAGATGCGCGAGGACGTGGACACCGAGGGAGGCTGGCATTCCCACGAGGTGTGGTGCCATGCCTGCCGTGGGGTAGGTGGACTCCAAGCGAGCCAGAGGGGGCTCCTGGGAGACAGGGGACCTTCAGGGACTTGACTCGGGAAGGGCGTGGCTTTCCAGAAGGCCAGGACGGAGGGCACAAGCCGCTGCCAGGACCTGAACCCTTGGCTTGTGCCCCTCGCAGGACCCTGAGGAGCACCAGAGGCAGTTGAAGAAGAAACAGAAGAACCGGGTGTCTGCCCAGCGCAGCCGGCAGAAGCACACGGACAAGGCAGACGCCCTGCACCAGGTGGGGGACTGCACCCTTCCCGACCCCCACCTGTGCACCCCTGGTCCATTGCCTCTTTTCCACCGGCCTGTGAGCAGACCCCGCTACCCTGCTGGGCGTTCCCGGCGCTGAATTTGGGGGGAGGGAAGGGCTGTGCCGCTGAGATTTGGAACTTGCTAGGTGTTGAGTGAAACTGTGCTCCAGAGACATGCTGGGTCGCAGGGGCAGAAGGCGTGTCCACAGCTGCTGCCCTCTGGGCGTCCCCAGTCTAGGGAGAGGAGACAGAAAGTGGAGGCAGCCTGGGGGGACCCAGCACAGCCACCAGCTGAGGCCCTCTTGAAAGGCAGATCCCTGGTCACTCCCCCGCCCCCAGGGCCCGCTCCGGAGGCCTGGAGCTGCCCTGTGATGGACCACGTGGCCTGTCGGAGTTGCGATGTAGGCGGCCAGGACCACACCGTGAGAAGCTCTGGTCCAGGCCTAAGGTGGGCTGGCTTTAGAGTCCCGGCTGAGGCGCAAGTCACTTCCTTCGCTGGGCTTCTGTCCCCATCCCCATCCAAAAACGGGGACCAGGATGCCTGCCCACGGGCAGGACCCCTGTGGAGACTAAAGGAGGCCAAGGAGCCCAGTGGGGCAGGAGAGGGCTGCGCCTGCTCTGGCCTCTTGACCTTGGATGGTAATTTGAACTTGGATGGTCACCTACTCTTGGAGGTTCCCTTCTTCCTCCATGCGGAGAGGAAGGGCAGCATTACTTCCTAATGGGGGTTATTGAGAGCTGCGCTCAGGACCTGGCCTACGCTCCCATCCTTCTGGTGATGCGTGAAACTCACGGCCCTCTGCATCCAGAGACCCTGCACTCGCTGCAGCACCAGCCCCCGCCTGCCCGCCCTGTCTCCTAACAGCCCACACCCTGTTCTCCCGTCCGACCAAATCTGGACAAGCACCTCCCGCCTCAGGGCCTCTGCCCTTGCTGCTCCCCGCTCCCCCCACCCCCCACCCTCGGACAGCAGTCCAGCCAGAGCCTCACTTCCCTCCAGTTGTTTGGTGTAAACGTCACCTCCTCAGAAGGGCCTCTCTGGGCCATCTGATCTCAAGAGATCTCTCTCCTTGTTATTCCGGGTTATGTTTCTTGTCAGTGCTGAGCCCCCGGGATGTGGTTCTTTGCTTGTCCCCCACGAGACTGTAAGCGACACGGGGCAGGAACTCCTCTGTTCCCTGCTGTTCTGCGTCCCCTGGACCAGTGCCGGACAGATGAAGGGACTCCGTCATTCCCTGTGGAGCATGCAGTCAGAACACGAGTGCTTCAGAAACACACAGGGCGGGGGCTGGGGCGGGGGTGCAGCAACAGGGAGTGGCATCGAGGTGATGCAGGGGTGAAGTCTGGGCGGGTCCAGAAGGAGGAATAGGAGTTTTCCCAGCGGGCGGAAGTCAGAAAAGGCACTGCAGGCCAATGGACGCGCGTGGGCGTGGCCCGGGGCGGGCGTGAGAACAGCGCCCTGCAGGATGGTGAGGGCGAGGACTGGCGCCGGGGTGGGGCTTCGGGCTTCCATTTATTCATTCCTTCCCGGAGGACCTGGCCTATGGAGCGTCTCCTGAGTGACAGGCACGCTTCTAAGCATCGGAGATACGGCTGTGAACACAGCAGACGGAAGCCCAGCCTTGGGCTCATATTTTTATGGGGGAGCCGGGCAGTCAAACTAATGGTCCGAGAGGCGTCTGGGATGTCAGGTGGTGATGGAGCCACGGGGAAGAATTAAAGCAGGGGAGAAGAAGGAGTGGGGTGGGGGCGGGGGTGATGGGAACCCCACAAGGGATGCCCCCCCACCCCAGTAGGTGACATCTGAGCAGCCTAAAGTTGGCAAGTGAATGAGTGCGTGAGTGAATGTGTCAATTTCTGGAGGTGACTGGAAGCCTTTGGAGAATTTAGGCGAAGGGTGATCTAATGCCATTTAAAAAATGTCATCCCGCACGCAGAGACCAGCCCGGGATGAGGCTGCTGGTGGCTTTGACTGCCTGTTAGGACTTTGAGTCCGTGGCCTAAGCCACATTTTTATGTAAAACACCCTCGCGGCTTCTTCTTTTGAAAAGAGTCCACCAGGGGTGGGGGTTGGAGGGAGCGGAGGGAGCGGAAGAAAGCAGTTCAGCCTCTTGAGCTGTGGAAATAGTGTCCTTGAATATTCTGCATTTTCCACCACTGTGGTCATCATGAATGGTGTTTACAAGTGCACGTGGGTTTTCGTCCCTGTGGGCTCTCAGAACCCAGCAGGACAGAGCACGGCACGGGCTGACTCGGGGACACCCAGCAAACTCATGGTGCTGGCCCTCTGGAGAGCCCGGCCCCGGCTGCCCCTCACGGTGCCTGGGTGCTGGGGGGCTCCCACGGGGCACCCAGCAGCCTGGAGGCATCCAGGGCGGCAGGATGTGCGGGTTGTGGTTGCCATGAGAAGTCTACAACGTCTGGATGAGCCCGGGGAGGGGGATGCTGAAAGAGTGTCCCGGCAGAGGAGACAGGAAATGTCGTGAGGAAGTAGAGTCCGGTTAAGGGACAGGAAGTGGGGGGGGGCAACAGGGGAAGTTGAGAGATACAGCTGGAAGTGTCAACTGGGGTCACCCCACCCAGGGAGTTGTGGGAACCTTTAAAATGTTTGGTTAATTTTAAACCCAGTTGCCCAATGGTTCCTCCGGGGCAAGAAAGCGGGGTAGGTTAGGGGCCGCCCCGGTTAGGAGGCTGACGGAGCTCCCGGCTGAGTGGCGGTCTGGCGCAGGCTGGTAGTAGAGACCCCTGGCTGGGGGGATTGAGGGTGGGGAGTGGGCACATCTCAGCCTCGGTAGGAGGTAGAATGGGGGAGACTTGGTGGTTGTGTTCGGGTGGCCAGAGGGTAGCCCAGGGCCCCCAGCTTGGACACCTGCATGCCGGTGGTATCTTTCCACAGAGTTGAGAACCCTGAGGGGTTGGTGAGGGGGGTGTGAATGGGGCTCATGCCGAGCCTCCAGTGCTGGCTGACACCCCCTCCCTGTCCCCCTGCTCCCCCCTCCAGCAGCACGAGTCCCTGGAGAAGCACAACCACGCTCTGCGGAAGGAGATCCAGGACCTGCAGTCTGAGCTGGCATGGTGGAGGCGGACTTGGCTGGTGCACGAGCGCCTGTGCCTCACGGACCGCGCCTCCTGCCTGGCTCCCCTGCCCCCCGGCTGCTGGGGCCAGGCCAAGCAGCCCCCGGGCCCCACGCCTCACAGACCACAAGACGGCCAGCAGCGACCCGGCCCCTTCCAGAGCCCGGCCTCCTCTCCCTCGGCTCCGCACAAACTCTCTCCAGAGCTGCAGCCTCACGGTTCCCCTGGCCTCCTCCTGTCCCCTCTGCCCTCGATGCCCCTTGGCCTTACTGCGATGACCGCACCTCCTGCCCAGCTGTCCCCCAGCCCTGTCCAACCTGCCTCGCCCTCCGGCTGCAGTCTATTGAGACCTTCCTCCAAGCTCAAAGCCCTCCTGCCGAGCTCCTCAGCCCCAGCTGCCCCTCAACAGCCCTTTGGGCTGGAGCACCTCACGCGGGAGGAGCTGGTGTCCTCACCCGACAGTCCCTTGGCTGCTCTGGGGCTGGCCTGTCCGCAGGACATGGACAAGCCTGCTTTCCCGGCAGCAGCTCAGCAAGGGCCGGGCATGGACCTCAGCCTGCACCCGCTCCTGGCCTTCCCGCTGCTCTCCTCCGCCCAGGTGCACTTCTAACTCAGCCCCCCGGGCTGGGCCAGCCCCTTCCTCGGGCTCAGGAGGCAGCCTTAGCACACGGTGTCTTCTCCTTTGCCGCCGGAGGCTGCCCTTCTCGGCTGGCCAGCTGGCCCAGCACTGCCCCCGGGAAGGGAGGCGACCCCTGGGCGCCCACCGTCCTGCCAGGCCCCGTCACCACCACCATCTCATGTCAACTCCACGGTCATTCTGCAACTCCGGATCATCACTCTGCTTTTTCAGAAACGGAGACAGAGGCTCAGAGAAGCCAAGTGACTTGTCCAAGGTCACACAGCCTTTCTTGGGACCTGAAACGCCACCATCTGCTCCTCCTGCTCCTGGTAGGATCCTGGCCCAGGTGGCTTAGAGACTGAAGTCCTAAAAACTGTGGGCCGCTGTGAAGAGGTTCAAGTGCCGAGACGGGGAGGAGCTCTCCCTCCACTTCGTGACTCCCCGGGGCGGCAGAGGCCTGCAGTCCCTGGAACTTTGCCCTAACCGCGGGGGGTCCAGAGTCCACGTTTGGGCGGGGAGGGGCTGGGCAGGAGCACGGAAGCCGACGCTTTCTTCCTCTACCAGAAACTGAGCCCATGGGTGGGAGTTGGGGAGGAGCCTAGAACAGTCTCCCCTGGGGTTTCTGCAGGTGAGTTGCCAACAGCCATCCCAACGCCTGGGGAGATGCTGCAAGGTCCGCTCTCCAGGCCATTCTCGAATAACCCCCGGCCTCCCCCTCCCTGCAAGGCCACTGGGGACGTGAGAGACAACACGCTGGAGGGAAGAACGAGGGTAGGCTCCCGTGCGAGGTTATGTTTAAGCAAGTGCTGGACCTGAACCTGGCGGTCGTGAGAGCTGGGTCTTCTTCTGCAGTACCGCCCTGTCCCTGTGCAGCCCCCAGACCCCTCTGACCGGTACCCTCCCGTTGTTCTTTGGTCAGGGCCCAGGCTGGAGCTCAGCCTCAGTGTCTGCCCCAAGGGGGGTCTCACTCAGAGTCAGGACAAGCACCGTGAGGGGCTTGAGATGAGAAGATCCCACTCTCCACCCGGGTGTTCGTACACGCTGTTAGTAGGCCCTGTGCTGGTGTCTGACACACTCCAGGGTGCTGAGCGTGAGTCTCGCACTCTGTTATGGTAAATAAAGTGTTTTCCGATTCCTTCTGCTCCGGCTAGTTGTTTGAAGCTCCGCTTATACTCCGTGCTGTTGAAAACAAAAGGTCTTTGAAAGAACAGGGAATAGTCTAGAATCTCAGAGGTGGGCAATCGCTCGTGGACCTCCTAATCTAACCCCCCTCCCATATTCTAGATGGGGAAACTGAGGCCCAGAGATGGGATGCACTTGCCCAGGGCCACCCAGCAGGAGTAGGTGTGACGCCCACAGGACTGTGGATGGCAGCGGGGCTGGGGTCACCGGAAGGTGCAGGGACAGCAGGCTGGCAGGAGCGAAGCCCAGATGTCTGTGGGAGGGCAGCTGGAACCCGGGGACAAGAGCTGATGTGATGCGCAGGGACCAGGACCCGATGGGCGGCGAGAACACTGTGGCCGGGCTTGTGTCTGCGGGCCTTAAACCCTGTCAGGCACTGCGCTGTGCTTTACTTGAGTTAACTCCGTGACCCCTCTAACAGCTCTGTGAGGTAGGTACGGTTATTATCCCCACTGTGCAGAAGGGGAAACTGAGGCCCGGGGGGTTAAGTAACAAGCTCGAGGTCACATAGCTAGGGATCGGTGTAGACCTGATGCAGCGTCAGGAGCACTTGGCCACAGGCGGTCCAGCCTCCTGCCTTCCCATCCTGCCTTGCAGCCACAGGCTGACAGACTTGACCCCAGACGGTAAAAGCCTTCCCTAAGTTCAAAACATGTGAGAGAGGGGAGTGACTAAATTACGTTGGCACTCTCCTCTGACAATGACGGAAGAGGCACTAAGAACAAAGAACGCTTTGAAGACTATTTAATGAGGTGAGAAATACTTGTAACGTATTAAGCATCAAAAATAGAACGTGCAACTGTCGCTATAGCTTGATTTTCTGCTTGTTTAAAAATATAAACCGCCTGGAAAGGGTGGGAGGAGATATTGTCAATTTTGAGGGATTCCCGTGAAGCCCCGGCTGCACACGCGGCCGTCACATCCTCCGCGTGGCCGCACGGATCCTGGGACTCTGCATGCACATCTGCCAGTGTCTGTGGCCACCTTGCAAATTGCTCAGCGGGGCGCCTCTGGCTCAGGGTCTCACCCGGGCTCCAGCCAAAGTACTGGCCCGGGGTGCAGCCTCTGGAAGGCTCACCGGGGGAGATCTGCTTCCAAACTCAGGCCGATGGCTGTCTGCAGGCCTCAGAAGGACCCCTGCCAAGTTCATTTACAAGGTCGTTGGCAGGGTTCTGTTCCTGGAGGGCTGTTGGACCGAGGACCTCAGGTTCTTGTGGACTGTCGGCTGGCGATCTTAGCGCCTTCCTGTGTGGGCCTCTCCACACATAGCTGCCGGTTCGCTCAGAGCAGGCAAGCCGGAGTGCAGGAAAAGGTGAGCGGTGCAGAGGCCACTCTGTCTGTAACCTAATTTCAGAAGCGACGTCTGTCACAGTGACCGTATTCTAGTGGCAGAGATAAGTCACTGGCTCCAGCTCGCATTCGAGGAGAGAGGGTTATACGAGGACACCAGAGCCAGGAGGGGACCGAGGGGACCCAGGGGACATCCACCTCACAGGGCTGCCAACCATCTCTGGTGAGAACCAGCACTTCCCTGGGTCCCTTCTTTCTCCTTTCATCACCAACACTAGCAGTGGGCTGGTTTTTGAGGGGGCTATTTTTTTAATCCTCATCCAAGGATATGTTGATTAATTTGAGACAGAAAGATGAACATCCGTGTGAGAGAGAAGCATCAATTGGTTGCCTCCCGTACATGCCCTGACCAAAGGTCAAACCCTCAGTCTAGGTACGTGCCCTGACTGGGAATTGAACCCGTAACCCTTTGGTTACAGGACAATGCTCCAACCTACTGACCCACTTGGCCAGGGCTGAGGGCGCACTTGCCAGAAAGAAATGATTTTGTCCCCTGTCCGGCAGAGGCAACACCCCCAACAGTGAACAGAGAGGATCTGGTGGGTTTAGGGCTGAACAACACCCCCCAACGGCCCCCCTAGAAACACACCGCCCCTCCTGGAAACCCCCTAGGGAAGCCTCAAATTAGGCTTGCGGCAAGGTAGACGCCCCCTCCCCAGAAAGACCTCTGAGTCACGCACAGACTGTCAGCGCTGAAACCGCCGGTATGTGCCGGCTGGAAGTCTTCTATGCTTTGAAAAGTAACCACTCACTGGAGGGCTAAAGTTGAAACTCAATTGAAACTTTTAGCCGTCCCCATCCCCCGCCACTGGTATTCACCTGTGTAGTGGGGTAAGCGATGGCTCCTTGAAAGGTATGTCTGCCCAGACCCTGTGAGTGTGACCTTATTTGAAAAAAAAAAATCTTTGCAAATGTAATTAAGTTAAAGATCCACAGCTGAGGTCATGCTGGACTCTCCAGGACAGCCCTGCATCCAATGGCCAGTCAAAGGAGGTCACTGATAGTAGGAGGAGAAGACGGAGGAGGGGGCCATGTGGAGACAGAGGCAGAGACTGGAGCTAGGCAGCCCCGCGCCTAGCAGCGTCTGGACCCAGCAGCAGCTGCAAGCAGCAAAGAAGACTTCGCCCTCTGGCCCCCAGAAGCATGGAAGCAGGGAGGACAGTGAGGGCGCTGCCACTGTCATCCAGGTGAGCGATGGTGCTGGCCACGCCCAGGGGGGTAGCGAGGAGGCGGGAAGAAGAGGTCAGATTCGACAGATCAAGCTGACGGGATATGCTCGTGGGTTGGCTGAGGGGACGGGGAGGGAGGAAGTGTGAGGCTGGGGTCTGGGGCCCAAGTGGGGGGCGGTTGGTAGGGCCAAGGACGGAGAAAAACTGGGAGAGGGGCAGTTCGGAGTGTGTGTGTGTGTAGGGGGGGAGGGTCAGGAGCACTGTTTCGGCCATGCTGAATTTGACATGCGTATTTGTCATCCAACTGGATCGCAAAGAGTTTGGAGATCAGGGGAACGGTCAAGACGGCATGTGCATTTGGAAGCCGGCAGTGTAAATACGCGGATGGAGCATGGCGATGGGGCGAGAGGGCCTACGAGGGCCCTTGCAGCTGTGTCCCCACGGGGGCCCCTTCTCCTTGGGCCCCCAGAGCTCGCTCGGCCGGGCTCTCCTTCCAGCATCACTCCTGCGCGCCCGGAAACTGGCCCCATCCTTCCTCCTCAAATGCTGCTTCCTCCAGGAAGCCTCCTGGGATCTGCCAAGATAAAAATGACCCCTTTTCCCTCAGGCTCCTCATCACACCCCTGTGCCTTTCCCCAACATCCAACGCTTTCCCTTTTGTGTGGCTGAGCCTACCTACCTTATGCCCCACAGGGGCAGCCGCCAGTCCGGCACATCACGGGTGTGTTTAAACCGCCTGCACATCGGGAGGCAGAAGGCACGGTGGTTAGACACCTTGAGCTCCAGTGCCAGGCGGGAACGGGTTCGTGTCCCAGCTCTTCCGCTGCCTGACTGAACTCTCTAGCCTCAGTTTCCTCACCTGAAAAGTGAGAACTGAAAAATATACCCACCCACAATCCACCCTACATATATGTGTTTACGTATCCACAAATACGTGTGTCTATGATCTATATCATAGAAATCCATGAAAAGAATGTTTATATCAGCAATATTCCTACTTCAGGAAACGGAAAACAGCCCAAACGCCCTATCAGTAGTGAAATGAATCAATTGTGGGACACTTCACACGAGGTACTGCCACATGGCGACGAGGGTGATCACACTGCAGCCATTGGGAACAATGTGAATGAACTTCACGAGCCTAATGTCGGGCTATAGAAACCAGACACAAAAGAGGAGACAATGTATATGCTCCATTTCTATGAAATCTAAACATAGAAGGAAACCCAGTCTATGCTGTGGAAAGTCAAGGTTGTGGTTCCAGGTGGAGGCCGGCGCCTGGGAGGGGACCCGAGGGGCCCTCGGAGGTGCTGACAGTGTTCTGCTTGCTGATCTTTGTGGTGCTTCCACGAACATACTCACCACCTGCCAGTCACTGAACTGTGTGTCTATGCTCCGTGCTCTCACATTGTGTCTGATACACTTTAATGTGGTGAGCAGAGGGTGAGTGTAAGGAGCACATCACACGCAGTGAGCGCCTCAGTAAGTGTTAGCTGTTGGGGAGGAATGAGTGACGACCCACACTGGCCAGGTTGGTCAGAGCATCATCCTGCGAGCCAGGGTTGTGGGTTCAATCTCCCGTCAGGGCACGCACAAGAATTAACCAATGAATGCATAGGTAAGTGAAACAAAAATATGTTTCTCCCTTCCTTTCTTTCTCTAAAATTAATACATATTTTTAAAGAGCTTTACATTTAAAAATATATATATATTTAAAGATTTTTATTTATTTATTTTTAGAGAAGGAAGGGAGGGAGAAAGAGAGAGAGAGAGAAACATCAATGTGAGGTTGCTGGGGGTCATGGCCTGCAACCCAGGCATGTACCCTGACTGGGAATCGAACCTGTGACACTTTGGTTCGCAGCCTGCGCTCAGTCCACTGAGCTATGCCAGCCAGGGCTTATATATTTTTATTTTAAAGAGCTGTTACACCACTCTGGTTGGTGTGGTTCAGTGGGTTGAGTGCCAGCCTGCCAAAGAGTCACCAGTTCGATTCCCAGTCAGGGCACACGCCTGGGTTGTGGGCCAGTTCCCCAGTAGGGGGCGCACGAGAGGCAGCCACACATTGATGTTTCTCTCCCTCTCTTTCTCCTGCCCTTCCCCTCTCTAAAAAATAAATAAATAAAATCTTTTTTAAAAATTAAAAAAAAAAGGAAGAAAGCACACCTATGCCTTGCCCCCAAGTGAAACTCATTCGTAATCAGAACCATGGACAGATCAGAGCCTGCCCTGGAGGAAGGCTGGAGGGAAAGGAAGAGATCAGAGGTCTGGGGTCTGATTCAGGGGAGGAGACTCGGAGAGACTGAGACCTTTCCCCTGAGTTAGTGGTTCAGTGCCTTCTGGGGCCACAGCTGCCCTGCAGAAGGGAGACTCTTCCCAGGGCACCGTGGGTGTCTGTGTGTGTGTTCATGCAGAATCGCATTCCATGTTA